TAATAATAAAATAAAATAAAAATTAAAAAACAGTTTAGAGGACTAAAGCGCCTGCTTATGCACAGTGCAAGGCAGCTAGGGTTCAATGCCCAGTGTGCCATGCTGACCCCGCCCCTGGGCGAGGCTGAGATAGTGATTAAGACTGGGTGTGGTGGGGCACCCCTGTAATCCCAGCAACTGGGAGGCTGAAAATAGGAAAATCACTGAGTCCCATCTATGTAGTGAGACCCTGTAGACCCTGTACTTACAAAAAAAAAACAAAAAAAAAAAAAAGGAAATACTTTCATTCACCCTTGCACATGACTGGTGTCTTGTGTGCTAGGAACTTGCAACCTATCTGGTTGTCATCATGATTAATCCAAATGGTGTGACCAAAGTGGTGCAGCTCTTTAAATAAAATAATTTTTTTTTTAAAAAAATGAGTATGCTCTATAGTTGCATATGCCCTACAGCTTCACGTTTTGAAACATTATGCTGGTCTCCAAATTTGGTTGCTAATGAATATCTGCTTACTATAGCACTTAAAACAAGAAACATAAGCACTTCCATGGTAAGCGCAAGGGTCTGAGTTCAATCCCTAGTTCTGCCAAAAAAAAAAAAAAAAAAAAAACACCAAACAAGAAACAATCCATGTAAGTGTCATGTTCTGCAGGGGATGGTACGCAGAGTTGAACAAATTAACTCTACAGACGCTACTTGAGTAGGAGGGAGACATCTGCATCATCTCAAAGGTAACTGAAGATAAAATGTTTAGCAAAGTACAGAATATATGAGACTGTTAGAAATATCATAGGCAGTCAGACAAGGCAAGGTCCTCAAAGAGGAGATACTTTGCCACTGGGGGAGAGACAAGCACCTCTGCTGTGGGCCTGGCCTCAAGAGAAAAGATCATACAAATGCAGACACACATCTCCATGGGGACAGACATCAGGGATTGATATTCTCAATAGGTATAAATCATCTGGTAAAAGCAGGAAGAATCACTAACTCAGTCTCCTCTGTGCAAAGCCCCTGCTCTGTATTCAAGCCTCTTGCTTCCTGACACTTCCCCATTTGATCACAATTTAACCTATTTTAACTGAACAATGATGCTTGTGATCTTATTGGTTGAACACAGTTTTGTCCCATCTCAAGCCCAGATACCAACTTCCCATGTTTCCCACCTCGGACCTGACTCCCCTCTTGGTTTTGCCCTATAAAAATCCCTAGAAAACACAGGTTCCTGGTCAGCGTACTCAGTTCCCCATCTGTCCCTCTCTGGGACAGAAGCTTTCTCTCCTTCCATAAATATATTCTCTTAATCACAATTGTGCCTAAAATTCATAATTTGGTTTTAGAGAACATATCCCCAGTACCTCTCAGGTTTGCAAATTATTTCCCCTGTATCATTCTTAACCTGCTCTGTACACATACCACTATCTGTATTTGGGGAAATGTATGTAACACAAAGTCAAACTCATAATGAAACACTAAATATGTCATGTGCTCCCTTGAATATAGTACAATATAAATCACTGATTGGTCACCCATGGTGTCATTTTCTTTGGTTTATTTATTTTGTGGTACCAGGGATTGAATTCAGGACCCTACGCTTGCCAGGCTGTTTTTTGGTTGTTTTGTTTTTTTTTTATAAAGACAATAAATAAGAAAAACAAACAAATAAACATTAGAAACAATACAGAATTTCACTAAGTAAAATAACGGGCATTCAACAGTGGTTGTTAAATTGTATATTGTTGTCTTCAAATTAGTTGTTCAGATTACCAGATATATTATGTATGCAAAATTGGTCAGAGAAAGTAACCAAAAATGAAAAAGGAGAGGAAAAAAAATTAAGCATTAACTGCTTCCTGTTTTTGACAGGGCAGTAACTTGTAGTAACTGTATCCACTACCATCAACAAGTATTATACCAGGTAGCACTAGTGTGAGTTTCAAAATGAAAAGATTTGTATCAAGCTTTGACCTCATGCACACAAACAAGTTAGTCTGCAGTAGCGGTGTTGCAGGCAGCGAAATCAGATAGAGGTATTACAGGCAGTCAGACAGGGCTAGGCCCTCAAGCAACAGTATGGAAGACAAGGTGTCTGTGCAACTTTGGGAGAGACAGACCCCCCCCCCCCTTGTCAAGAGGAAACAAAGGCAGCCACATAGTTACCTATGAGTACTGATCACCCGGAAATCCGGCACTGACCCGCCCCCTCCAGGAAAAGCCCCTGGTCTGTATTCATGCAATTACATAGCGTGAAAGTGTACTTTTTGCATAAGAAGCAAGGCAGTCACCTCCCTACTAAAAGGAGTGACAGCAACTCCCTACTAAGTTTCTGAGTTTTCAGGAATTTCAAACAAAATGCCCAGTGTCTCACTAAAATCCCAGTATAATTTTAACAGTGCACGCTGAGAAAATGGGTTGGGGAGCCTGAATGCCAACCTGCTGTGTTAAATCCAGAGCCTTCGGTGACAGGCGCCCACTAAGCAACTAAGCACTTACTGTGCTCTGTTTATCCATAACTAGCTCTGCATTCAGTGGCCACAGGCCACCCACTGGGGACACTTCTGTAAAGCAAGCGGCAATTCTGGTGCAGTAATACAACTGCAGAGATCTCATGAACAAAATTAAAGTGAGGAATTCTTAAATGCTGCGTATGGAGCCGAAGGTTCCCCCAGGGCCTCTGCTCTCTCTAGACTCCTGCAGATACCTGTGTGCTGACCAAGAAATGGGAAAACCATTTAGAAGAGGATGCAGCACCCAAGACCAGGCAGACCTCCGGGTCTGGAGCTAAGCGAGGAGGCTGTGCTTGCCTGAGCTGGTTCTGACCAGTTCCAGAACACAGCAGATTCCATCCCATCCCGAGTTCCGGTCCCAAAAAGTTACCATTGTGCGCGCTGATGGTCTCCAGGGACGCTTGCAATGCAGCTCGCAGCCAGTAGAGAATCACAGAGAAAAGGTGGCTTAATCAGCGGGTCCCGTCAGGAACACACTGACGTTTCGCACTGTGGCGCCATCACACAGGAAGTGCCCTCCTCCCGTAGCCTCCCTGATTGGAAAATTCGGAGAGCCCGCGTCTGCATTGGCTCCTCCTCATTTTTCACTCCGCTCCACGGAGCCTGCCGGAGCCGCAGACCTCCACCCGCAAGGGTGGAGCTCAAAAGATAGCTTGTAAACCCGGAAATTCTGGACCAGCGTCTCTCCGGACCACGGATCAATCCCACCTGGCCTAAGGAATACTTGCATCTCGGGGCTATGCTCCTGGGTTTTCAAAGCTCCTCTGGTTTTCTTAATGGACTCAGTGGGCTTTTCTTAAAAATGGGACCCACGGGTCAACAGTTTCTGACATTGCCAGTGAAGCGTAAGACCCAATACTATTATGGGCTACTGGACTCTTTTAGAATATTTTGCGGAGTTTACACACCTATAATATTCAAATAACGGAACTTAACAAAAAAAAAGGGTATACAGATGAATGTCCATTTTGTATCTGTGTATTCAAAGTGGTTAGGATAGATATATAGTTACATTCTCTTAATGAATAGAATGATTTGTTCTAATGGTGTTTATAAATAGGAAATCAAGTCCGCATCTTGTACAGCAATTAACCACTAAGAAGATTGTATGCAGTGTGTTAATTATTGAAACTGTCCTACCGATTTGATTTGAAACTGTCTCATTGCTATTTGTTTATCAATAAAATTATGTCCAAAAAATAAATAAATAAATAATGGGACCCAAACGTGCTCAGAATGCCCCAGGGTCAACGTCCTATGGAAGAGACAATCCCCTGATGTCAGAAAACATAAATGTAGCCCACGTCAGAACAGTTAGAGTACAGTGAGGGCCTGCAGTTGGGCATGAGGCAGTTGATTTCTTTGCTAAGACTGTCACACTGTCTCGCAATCCAATCATTTTCATTCATGAAAATGTATATATGACCCCCCAACGGAGTGAAATTATTGTGTAAATGAAGAGATTAGTGTTGCATGATATCAATATTTACAAAAAAGTAAAGGTGAAAGAAAAGCAAGCATGCCGACTGTTATAACCTGACCAAAGCGCCGCCACCCTGTTCTGTACGCACTGTCTTAGTGAACCATGTCAGCTGCTGTAAAATGTGCCTATCTCCCAAAACCTCTGTTTCTGCAAGCCGTTACTGTAAGCCCTCGCCCCACCCTCGAATTCCAAGAACTTCTCCAGACCCCTAACCATATCTAGTCTCAGCAGCTGCCATGTTTCCTTAAACTTCCTGAGTTGTACCCTGCCTGCTTTGTGGTTTTAAGCTTTATTAAACCTCACGCTCCCCCACTTCAGTGCACACTTAGGCACTTTGTCCCGGGTGTGTTGCCACTGGGTACCAGCTAAAATAAAGCACTTTTTAAACTTTTGAGCCTGCCTCATTTTTGAGTTACAACACCAACCCTCTCAGGCTTTCTGCTTTATCTAGGGTCATATAAATACTTGAATTCTGAAGATAAATACATTTTCAAGTATGAATACCAGAAAAACTGCTGCAACAGCCCTACTTTTGATGCACCGGAGCACTTGCTTGGGATGAGGCTGGTGATACAGGGAAGTGAAACTCCTGACCTGACCTGGATGAGTTTGTGTTCTCTAAAATTGAAGAATGAATTTTAGGAACAAACAGAGGTTGAGGGTAAAACTTTATTGGAAAGGAAAGCTTCTGTCGGAGAGGGACAAGAAAGGGGGCCTGAGCGGGTTGCCCAGGAACCTGTCTCTTTCAGGTTATTTTTACAGGGCAAAACCACGTGGGGCTAAGGTAGAGAAGAAGGGGTCTCGCTTAGGCAGATGCAGGGTGGGACAAAACTATGGGCAACCAATGGGATTACAAGCACCATTGCTCAGGTAAAATTGATTAGGCCCAGGACCAAATGGGGTAGCGAGTCACATAGTAAGCAGGCATGAATGTAAAACAGGACCTTATCTGGTGGTCATCAGTGATTCTTCCTGAGTAACGATCAATCCTGGATGCCAGTCTTTAGGGAGGTTAGCATTTGTTTGGTCTTTGGGTCTGGCTTTCAGCAGGATCATCCATCCCTCCCACAGTTGTAAGGTGCCTGGTCTTTGCTATCTCCTTTGAGGGCCTGAGCCTGTCTGAATGCCTATAATATTTCTAGCTAACTCAGGCTGCCTGCAACACTGGGACACAAAAGGACTTTAGGCTGTGAGCTCACCAGGCCCTGTCCTGCTTTATCACATGCTGAAATCCTCTATCTTTCAAAATTATTACTCCTATAAAATATTGGAATCTGGTGATGCACATGCTTAATAATTTCTTTGGCTTGACAGTTGTTCAGGATTTTAACAATGCACATTTCTTCCTATGATTGTGTGTCCTGAGGGACCAAATCTGTTCTCTGGTTCCTTCCTCTCAGCTTCTTTCCTTTCTCTCTGGAACCTGAGTCTTTTAAATTCAGTATTTTATCCTTTATTTCTATTTACTATGAGATTTCTGCATTAGAAACAGTCAAATCAAGACTGCAGTCGATTAAAAAATGACATAAAAATATTTTACTTTCGAGTTCAATCCCCGGTTCCACAAAAAAAAAAAAAAAAAAATTACTTTTTATGCTTTGTGATACAATGTGTTATAACCTGACCAAAGCACCGCCATCCTGTTCTGTATGCCCCATCTTAGTGAACCATGTCACCTGCTGTAAAATGTGCCTATTTCACAAAACTTCTGCTCCTGTAAGCCTTTGCTGCAAGCTCTCGCCCCCACCCTTAAATTCCTAGAACTTCCTCAAACTCCTAACCATATCTAGTCTCAGCAGCTGCCATGTCTTCCTGAACTCCCCAAGTTGTACCCCGCCTGCTTTGCGGTTTTAAGCTTTATAAACCCCACACTTTCCCCCTTCGACGCACACTTAGGCACTTTGTGCTGGGTGTTGCCGCTGGGTAGCAGCTAAAACAAAGCGCTTTTTAAACTTTTGAGCCTACCTCGTTTTTGAGTTACAACACGATGCTCTTAATCTTCTGGAAAAATACCCAAACTAGGGGAAATGGGAGTTCTTCTTGTTTTACAAGACATCTCCACACTGTTTTTCACAGTGTTGCCCCCATCTACATTCCCACCAATGGTGAGAAAGGGTTCCTGTAACCCACATCCCCTCCAGCATTTATTTCCTGGTTTCTTGATGATAGCCTTTTTTTCCTCAAGTGATATGAAATCTCAGTGTTGTTTGAATTTGCATTCCTTGGTTGACCAGTTGAATGTTTTTTCATGTATTTATTTGCCATTTATATTTCTTCATCTGAGAAGCATGTATTTTTTTCAGATGCTCATTTTTGGATTAGGTTTTTAATTTGGGGATGCTGATTTTCATTTTAAATTTAAATTTTTGGATACCGTGACAACTGCATATATTTATGGGATACACTATAGTATTTTAAAACATGGATATAATATGTATTGATTGACGGTGGTTAAATTAACCTTTTATCTCACCATGATTTTACATTTGTAGACTTTATGTTCCTCTCTTCTGGTTATTCAGAACATATTTGCAGGAGAGTGAACTGTAAAAGTAAAATGTGATAATGTATCCCATATAATATATTTCATAACAAGTGATTTTATGTATTTTATTTGTGTGTGTTTTTTTTTTTTTTTTTTTACTTTTTTGGCAGAACCTGGCTTTTCTGTTTTAAAAACACAGAAAAAGCAGGGGAGATGGAAAGACAGAGAGTGAAAATTGAAGCATGTATTTCACAAAACTCAATTCTATAAATTCCATAGTGAAACTTGAGACCCTAGTCCTGCAGGCCCACGTGGACTGAAAGAGGCCTGGGTGGTCCCAGGACACTGCTGAGTCCTCCCAGGCTGCCCCTCCTCCCCTTAGCACCTAGCACAAGTGGTGCTGGGTGGAGACTGTGAACCAGGTCTTTTGCACTGGCCCCCGGAAAGAGCTGTGTGTCCTCATGCTCTGTGCGGATGAGCAGAAAAGACTGCATTTGTGAATTGAAACATGTATTTCTGCATGAAACAATGCTGCTTCATGGTGATAAAATTGGTATACTTATTCTTAGATGATTCTGATGACAATTTGACAATTGAAAGACACTTGTCTGAAAATTTGTAAGTTACTTTGAAATGTATATCCCCGGTTCCGCCAAAAAAAAAAAAAAAAAAGTATTTAAGTCATGCTTGTACTTCCAATAAAATTCATATTAATTAAAAGAAGAAATTTAATAAATAATATCTTTATGCAGTTTAAATTTAACAGGGACTATCCACTTCAAATATCAATATTTCATAAGTCATCTACAGTTTATGTACTATAGGATCTCCTGAGGTCATACAACATCAAACAGAAAGCAAAAGAGGTTAGGGAGATAGTTCAGTAGAATAAGTGCTTGCCTGGCAAGTACAAGGGCCTGAGTTCAATCCCTGGTTCTGCCAAAAAAAAAGAAAGAAAGAAAAGGAAGGAAAGAAAGAAGGAAGGAAGGAAGGAAGAAAGGAAGAAAAGAAAAGAAAAGAAAAGAAAAGAAAAGAAAAGAAAAGAAAAGAAAAGAAAAGAAAAGAAAAAAAGACAGACAGCAAAGCCAGAGACAGACTGGAAGCCCTCCCTCCCCAACATCCTTCTTGGTCCCTGCTCCTGGGGCGCTGCCTGCTTCTCTGTGAACCCCAGTGCCCCTTGCTTGTCCTGACTGCCCCTGCAGAGAAGTTTGTGTCTCAGTGCACACTGAGGCCCCCTCACTGTGTTTCTTGCTCAACAATACATAGATCCATCTCCTGGTCTCTGACTGTCCATTTGGATATACAGTGTCTTCTTCCTGCTATCTCTGGGGGTGATGAAGTCTGTGTAGATGGTTCCACTAATATAACTTATGATTTAGAACCACCTCAGCCCCTTCCCTGAACCTGCCAAATCAATCTCATGTCAGTTACTGAAGAAGAATCCAGAAGCTGCATATGATAAGTTCAAGGACTCCCCAAGATGGGCCAAACCTCCCTCAGAGTCCAACAGCTTCTC